TTTTCCAGAAGAATAGACGGTTGTCTCAAAACCAATCAAGAACAAAACAGATGCCTCCTGTTACTATGGACTTTTGTAGCAGCCTAGGTGTCACTCTGCAGGGGGCTTCTTGGATGAATTACATTGCACATTTAGTGTGTACTATGATGTAACTATTTTTATTGCTTTGAAATTTCATGTATTATCATAGTGTGTTTGTGTGTGTGTGTAATGTATGTGTGTGCATACACATGCCATAATGCATGTATAAAGGTCAGGGGATAAGTCTGTGGAGTTGGTTCTCTCCTTCCACCTTTAGGTGACTTCCAGGGATCTGCTCAGGTATTTAGGACATCATGTGCCTTTACTTTCTAAGCAATGGCCCTATTTTTAAATGAGATTGATTTGTATGCATGATGGGTTAGCAAAGATGCCTACTATTACATGTATTATTACTTTCAAATAAGATTTAAAATATTTGTATGATATGATTCCAATTCTATAGAAAAATGCTGTGTGTGTGTGTGTGTGTGTGTGTGTGTGTGTGTGTGTGTATTCAGCACACAAGACAAGGAAGCCAGAACAGACACAGCTGGAGTACAAGGCTTGGTTGGCACTGTGGCAGAAGTCACACGCAGAAAAACACACTTAAATGCTTTTGTAATTTAAATTTGACAGGGAGTATAATTTGGTTTTTAAATCCTAGTTGCTGTTATAATGATGACAAGCTGAAAAGACAATGGAGGAGAACAGAGAGAACCTTTATTCTATTAGGAGGTATTTGATTTGTTTTTCAACTTATAAGAAACTTTTTGATATACTCCAAATGCATGGTGACAGAATCCTAACAGTAGTTCCAGGTGCTAGCCAGGATGCTTGGTTAGTTTCAAGGCATTCACATAAAATGGGTAAAAAGGATGGATTTGGGATAGGGAGGCTCACTCTCACCCACAAGAGACTTACTCAATCCCTGGAGAAGTACCCTGGAAGAGATGGCACCTGGTCAACAACATGGAGCTGTATTTATTTATTTATTTATTTATTTATTTATCTCTTTATTTATTTATTTTCTGAGACAGGGTTTCTCTGTGTAGCTTTGTAGACCAGGCTGGCCTCGAACTCACAGAGATCCACTTGCCTCTGCCTCCTGAGTGCTGGGATTAAAGGCATGCACCACCACTGCCTGGCTCATTGAACTTCCTTTTCTTTTTCTTTTTCATTATTTTTTAAATTTAAATTAGTAACAAGCTTGCTTCACATGTCAATCCCAGCTCCCTCTTCCTCCCCTCCTCCTCCAAACCCCCAACCAGCACCCCATCCCCCCTCCACTCCAGGAAGAGTGAGGCCTTCCATAGGGGATCTCCAAAGTCTGTCATCATCCCAGGCAGGGCCTGGGCCCTCCCCCGTGTGTCCAGGCTGAGAGAGTATCCCTCCATGTGGAATGGGCCCCCAAAGGCCATTCGTGCGCCAGGGATAAATACTGATCCACTACCCCATTGAATTTCTTGAATTTCACTCACCAACCAAAGTTGACTGATAGAAGGTGACATCAAGCTATTAAAGGCACCACGTTGCCCCGAAATCCTAGAACATTCACAGTGGAAGGAGCAGAGATGTTGAAAGTAGTCCAGAAGTCACCAATGGCTTCTCCTGGTGGCTTTCTTTCTGGACACAGGCACTGAACACTGACCCTGCCTTAGCCTAGGGTTCGGCGCTACATTGCTGACTGGTAAACATCCCCTCACAATTACCTGGCTTTGACGGGGCTTGATTCCCTCAACAACTCCACTGACCTAACCCTAATTAGAGTGGGGGAACCGTTTGGGGAACAAATGGTGTAGATTTCGATAAATTCTGCCTAAGACTTAGAGGGAGTTGTGCCTATAGCTTATACTCTGAAGCTCAGACATTTCCCAGTCATATAATAAGCAAATTACTTAGCCTTTCTGCTCTTCAGCCTCTTCTGTGAAATGGGATAAAAAAGGTTTGTTCTGAGGGGTAAATGCACTAATGTACCTGGTGTATCAGAACATGCCAGACAAGTAACAGGTGGCAATCTCGAGTTGTATTATTGTTTCTTTTAATTTAAAATTGATTTTGATAATGGCTACTGGGCTGGGCAGGGGACACACTGGATATTTCCACTAGTGGATATTTTAAAAATATTATTATTATTATTATTATTATTATTCTCTCTCTCTGTCTCTCTGTCTCTCTGTCTCTCTCTCTCTTTCTCTCTGTGTGTGTGTGTGTGTGTGTGTGTGTGTGTGTGTGTGTTTACCACATGCATGCCTGGTCCTGGAAGAGGACAGAAGAAGGAATTGGATTCTCTGAAACTGTAGTATAGCATTCAAGGATGGAATGTTTTTTAAGGGTTGCAGGGGTGTGATGTGAAATAATAATTTATAAGTCACTTAATCCATTCTCCTTGGGAAACATTTATAAATTTATAACATTTATAACATTTATAAATTTATAACATTTATAAATTCCTTGTTGGGAACTAAGACAACCAATCAGTAATGTGTGAGCACCTGAGTTCAATTCCAGCACCCACTTCAAAAGCCACCTGTGGTTACAAGCGCTTGTAATCTCAGCAAGTAGATAGGCAGAGGCAGACTGATGCCTTGGGCTCACTAGCAAGCCAGCCAGCTCTAACCTGTGAGTTCCAGGTCCTAGTGAGAGACACTGACTCAAAAACAAGGTGGTTGGCCATCATGAGGAACAGCACCCAAATTTGACTACTGGCTTCCGCAGGACACACTGAGTTGCAACCTCACACGCACGCTTGCACCTCCACACCCCCTCCAACACACAAAGATGCAAAATTTTAAAAAACGGATCAGCATTTGGCACCTCAACCTTTCCCCCATTTAAAGAAGATATTTGCCTGACTGTGACTCAGCCTCAGAAGCTGGTCTACTCAGGGCATCCCAGAGGTAAGGATTCCCCACAGAGATGACCCAGCTCCTGCTGCCCAGGTGGTAACAGTATGCACTTGCCTGTTCTCCCTCCCACTGGCCTGTGGTCTGAGGCCCTAGGTGTTCAGTCATGTTCTTTCTGCTGTTTTTACAGCTTTCAACTCCATTGAGTCTGAATCTAATTTGAGAGTTCCATCAGTCCATAAAAAACATTTACTAGCTCACAAACCTTTCACTGGCTATGCCCAGAGTCATTGCCATCTCAATGAAAAGGTGGCTGATGACAGGTTGGAGTATGGCAGACAGTCCTAGGAGCACACCATGTATTTACACAGTCCCCAGATCCCTGTCTGTCCCACAGTGTGTGGATAGCTGGCACTTGGCAAAGGCCCACAGTTAGCCACTTGGTGCTTCTTTCTTGACTCCTAACCTGGCTGGACCACTGATGCTATCTTCCAGATTTTCAACCTTAAGAAAATGTTGGCCAACTGCTACTTTGTCTTCATCTTCCTTTTTCGTTGTCAACTAACTAGAATGAAAGGGATTGTCTTGTCAGTGCTATGTGGATGCCCAGTTTCATAGCAAAGGCTGGATCCTGAGCCAGCAGACAGGGGAAGTGAGTCTTAGATAGGGCCACTGGTACGGAGAGAACTTCTTCCCACAGCGCTTTGCTTAGTTGTTGTCTGTTCTATGCAAAGCGTCTCCTGTGACAGAATTCTCCCCACCCTTCCTTCCACCAGGTGTCCTAGACAACCTCTAGATAGTTCCATTAGGCAATCTACCTCTCTCTTGAATGGACATCATCTTTTGTTCTTATCTCTATTCATTTTGCAGTCATCACTTGTATCACATGGAGCGCTACCATGGACATGAACTTCAAAGTAATTCCTTAACATACACAAGCCACATAGTAAAAGACAGAATTGTTGCCTTGCCCGAGTCATACATTCTATATTTTCGGAAAAGCACATCTAAACATGACAACCCTGAGTTTAAATGGGTCCCCAAACCTTAAGAAGGTATCTTGGGAATCGATCTTAAGCTAGTGTGTGATCTGAATCAACCCTCAGCTAGGTCTTACCTCTTTCACATACTCCATCCAAAGTCCACATTGCTCCCAAGACAGCCAAAGACTCACACTGTTGATCAGGGGCAGTTGCAAGTTACAAGTCCTCAGGACGGTTTCCATGCTATCCCAGTCAGTTCCCTGGCAGGAAGGTTACTATAGTAGAGTAAGCTGGCCTCTTCAAGCTCTGGGGTTCTCTGGTTCAGCAAGTGATCTTTCTTGCCATCACTCCTACTATGGCATCATCTGCCATGATGCCTTTGTCCCAGCTTCCACACACTGTTTAGATTCTCTGCTCTCAGAATCATGAGCTAAGTAAACTCTACTTTGTTAGTTACTTGCCCTCAAGTGCTTTGTTGTAGCAATGCAAAGTGCATGGGTCCAGCACTTTACAAGTCAAAAAACTGGGGCACACAGCATTTAAGTGCCCAAGGTCACATCTCGAAGGAAAGAATAAAGGTTTCAATTAAGCAAGCTCACTGCAGAGTGTGTTCTTACACAGTGTTGCCTTTCAGTATGTCAGAATCTCTTCCTTCCCTTTCATGAGGTTAATCTAGAGATGACGGATAAACGGGATCTTGCTGGTAGCTCTGAGATGGGAAAGGAATCATAGAATGGAAACCGGAGCTAGTATGGATCAATCACCTTAATTTGCCTTCACAGTGGGGGAGAGTTTTTTGAGGCAATTATTTCCATGCCAGAACATGCTTTCATTCATTTGTCTGCTTATCACAACTTCTCTAATGCTCTGTATTAGCGAGTAGCCCACGTGATCCTCACAGCTCTCCCATGCAAACTAAGTGTTGATTAAATTGGCAATGATACCAACACTGGCAAACTATGGAGCGATGAACTGAGGCTGAATCACATTAATATCAGCATCCCTACACCTGAACTTGGTGCCAGGTAAATGGGAAGGTCCTGGCATTTAGACTCACTGTGATCTCTGCGGATCCTTGAATCTCATTTCTTTCCCCGTTCTCAGCCATGAACCATTAGCAAGAAACAAAAGCATTAAGAAGTAGCACAACCTGTTGCCTTCAGTTAATTTTTTATTTGAACATCAAATATGTTGAGAGGATGGTTTACAGGTGCTTGAGCATCCCACTGGATTCTTTATGGTTTCAAGGTGCAAAAGAGGCTTACAGGTGTGTTTCATTAAACAAAGCAAAGCTTCGACAAAAAGGATCACATGGATAGTAGTGTGCATCAGGAGAAGAGTGTATCAGTCCATCAAACACAATTGGACATCTGTGCCTTTCCTTATAAAACAAGAACTCTACACTGAAGAATATGTAGTGCACAAAAAGAATTGTTTGTAAGCTGTAAAAGAACATAAACTGGCATAATGTCACTTATTAATTCAAGTCTCTATGACCAATGACCTCTCCGTGAATGCAAAGGGGTCCATGTTTTAGGCACCTGCTCATGGGGCTGTATGCTATTATTTCCAGGGTGCACAGCTCTGTACAAAGACGCTAAAGATGGGTTTGGAACACGGCAGCATTTACATCTCTTAAAAGTTCAGGCACATTTGGATGCAAAAGAAAGGGGGGAAAAGCGAATAGAATTTTCTCTTAAATCTCAGAAAGAAAGTGCAAAATTGAAGTGCCATAATTGAGACAACAATCACTTAGAAAACAAGTTTAAAGGACTTTAAAGGAGACCATTACTTCAATTTAAATGGAAAAATATGAAGCTAGAAATAGAGCATACTCACACTAATGAAAAGAGATATTTGGGACCACAGTTAAATTTGTTTGCTCCAGGTGAAAGGGGTACATTTTCATGGAGGTAATCTAGGAAGTACACGGTGGATGCTGGATCAACCTCCCAAGACTTGCACCCAAGAGAATATGGTTGCCTTGTGAGCTATTGTATGACTCTATTCGCCTTTCAATGACAAGTTCGCCAAGCATATCTGACTGTGAATAGTAGACATTACTACTGTCCTAGTGATTATTCTCAGTATTCTCAGTATCCACAGTATATCTCAGAGTTGCAAAGTAGGACTAGGAAGAGATTTGTAACTGACTTCATGCAGGGATATGGGTAACCCCAAACAAATGGCTGGAGTCAGAGACCTTTTCAATGTGTGAGACTTTTAAGTGTGGACACCACAATGTGATTAAAAGGAAATTATAAGTCACTTACTTGTTCAGCCCCCCAAAGGCAAAAGATTTGTCATGGAAAATGACATGTCACCAGGGAAATCTATCAAAGATGGCACTTCCTTGGGGACTGGATTTTGTCACCTACATTTATAGGGTCTTCTCTTTGGATGACCAGAATCAAATCAATTGTCAAGCTAACCAATGGCTAAAAGAAACTCAGGCAGACCCCTTGCTGGATTATTCTTTGGATTTCACTCTGCCACACTCTTCCTCAGAATTCAAGCCAACATTTGGAAACAGCTACCAATGGAGCTTGTTATTATTTTATTACAGTGCAGACAGGAGTGAAATTCTGAAACCTGGGGCAATTCAAGGTGCCAGAATACTTTCTGCACTCTTTATCCCCCCTTTCCCCATTCTTTAAAGTCTTAGATCTATGTCCCCACTGCATTCCAACTCTCTAGCATAGCATTCAAATTTGAAATTGCCTCCAGGTGGGAAGAAAGCACAGGTATGACTACCTGGCATGTCCCCAATGCCCCAATACAGCAGCTGAAGTATGTCAGCTGCTCAAAATTGGCACTTCAGATAAGGGTAAAAAGAGTTTTCCAAACATGGTTTGAAACTCGTGGGCTAACACTTCAGCTGGCTGATGTTCTCTGCCCATTTCAAATGTGTTATCATAACATGAATACAAACACAGTAGATGGATAATGCAAACCCTCCACTAGAGTATTGTTTGGATTTAGCTGGTATTACATCATCTAAAGTCCTAGAAGTTTTTTTTATTTTTTTGTTTTTGTTTTTGTAAAAGAAAATCTCAGTATAAACATTAAAAAGAACCCACTGACCCATTAGCTACTGTCCAAAAATATTACTACTGATATTTTGGTAAAAGCAAAATTAGCTGCCCTGAATAATTTTCCTTATCAGGCATAATCTCTGCTACATAAGATTGTCTATCATTCAACATCCAACAATAGGCATACAGATTAGTGCTATTTCGTCTACTGTGGATACAAAAGTTGATATGAAATGTGATTTTCATTTAAATGAAAATCACCAGGCTTTAGATATTAATAACTGCATACATGACATGGTAGCTTGAAAAGTCCACAAAAAAACCTAAATATTTTTCCCTTGGTTTTTGCAATGTTAACCCAGTCAAATTAAAACTCAGAACAGAACTATTACATTCAATTGTCTGATAAACAAGCAATTCAATTTCAAAAAAATATATTATACTATATAAGGTGCTTTTTAAACAAACACAAACAAAAGAGTTAGTTCTTAAACATATTCTTAAAGCAGATACATAAAATTGTCCCAGAATTTGATGCACAAATATGAGAAATTAAAAAAAAAAGAAGAAAGAACAATTGGCACTCCCAGTTTCCCAGTTCTTTGGTAGTCACTTAACTGGGAGACCAGAAGTTCATGGAACCCACCATTCCAAATAGAACAGACCAAGAGAAGCCTAGCCATTCCCCTGGGCTGTTGGCTAACACATCTCATATCTATGGAGTTCAGATTGTAGGTAATGAAGTCAGGGAAGGAACCAAACTTGCGTTTTGTTTCAGAAAAGGAAACAATCCTTAGTTTCACTAGAGAGGCCCACACCCTGGGGACTGTAGATGCTGTGACTAGGGTAAGCCTTTCTTTTTATCCCCTTGGTCAAAGGACTCTCATGGCCCAAATCTGGTCTTACTCTCTGGTTTATGACGTTTAGGTACATGAGCTGTGGGGAGGCATGGGGTTTTCTTCCCAGGGCCACACCAACTGCTGTTGGGATGAGTTCTGAATAGTCAAGGACACTCTAGTCTGAGCAACTCCTCAGCAGCTTGAGTCATGGGTGCTCCAAGACCTTGCCCCCATGACTCCCCCAAGCTCCTGGAAGAATTGCAGGAACACAGGTATCTACTGTTGCCTCTTCCAATCAGGCCCAAACCTAAAATAAAGAGACAACCAGCCATCGGATCCCAGGGCAGCCCCACTGTGTATCACTGTAAAGGACAGCCCTGGGAAACTGCTACCTGTGGCAGGTGTTTCAAAACATTTCTCCCCTACTTTCTTTCTTGATCAGACTCCTTCTGAGACACAATCATTGTACATTTATTATTTGTTCTTCACCCAAGAATAAAACTAAGTAAAACAAAAGGTATCGCCAGGGTGTAGGTTAAATGTAGCTGCCCCTTGGTGACTCTACATGGGGACAATTCAGGGCAATTCACATGGAGGGGAGACAGGGAGAGTGCCCTCTACTGATGAATGCTAGACTCACCAGAACAGGTACCAAGTTGCCTTTACTGCATGTCCCAGGGGCATAAGGCCATTATAAAATGAAAATCAAATAAAATCCCAACACCCTATAGCCCTCACATTAGGGTGTTAACTGAAACTGACTTACTGGTTCCCACCAGTCATGGGAAGTAAGAATTATCTAGAGCCCATAACCTGTGTACAGTGCTCAACAGTTGATGCTTTAGAAGCCTGAAGGTGCAGTATATTAAATTGACAGGGTCTTGACAATGGGGAGGGGGACAGTCTTCCTTCCCTGCATGCATCCTGTATTCCTATAGGGGCTCAAGATTTCCCTTTAATAAAATCAAATGTTGCTATAGGAATACAAGAGGGTACGTGTAGATTAAGGAACCCAAGAGAGAGCTTTCTCCAAGGCTTCAATTAAAGGAGCCACTTCCAAGTCTTTGCTGAGGCTTGCTCTTGGAGCCATTACAAAGTGCTTATCAGAGGTGAAATGTTGACTCTCTAGGCTTGGGTCTCAACTAGTAGCTTCAATGCAGCTATCTCCATTTGGTCAAGGAACCCTCAGACTTAGTGATGTAGCAAAGGGGGAAAGAGAGCTGTTACCAAGAATTAGCCCTGGAATCCCGTTTGGCTGTTCCCAACAGAAGACACGCCACTAAGAACTGAGCAAGCAAATGAATGGCCACTCCTACTAGAAAGCCACTGGTGGTGGATGCATGCCAGAGTGTACGCAGGAGACAGGATTCTGCTAAAGTGATACATGACATGGGCAAGATGCTGCAGGGATTCTCAGAGCCTTGGGGGAGCCCGGGAGCTCTCAGATCGTGTTGGGGAAACTCTCTGCTTCTGGGGGGATGTAGTATGTTTGTAAGGAATGTGATGAAGTGGAGCTGGTGGTGGTCAGCTGGCTCTGGCTGGGCTCCTCTGGGGAGACTCCCATGCGACTGGCTGGAGCATGCAGGCGGTGAGCATCCAGCATCTCCAGCAGCAGGTCATAGAGGGGTACAACGTTCTTGCATTTCATGTTGTAGAGATGCTCCATGCCTTTGTTGCTGGGGGAGAAGGGATGCAGAGAGAAGCAGGTTAGGTCACAGCTGAACTCCAGGATGCCTAAAATTCCTAGGAGGGTGAGGTAAGAGAAACTCCAAAGCCACTTGTGAACCAGTCTTTCCACCCATTAGGGAAAAATCTTTTGGAGGCATCTGGAGATGCCGAGGGGCTTCAGAGGCTCGGGCTGGGACTCATGCTCGTGTATTTTCATTTTCTCCATCCTATAAGGGGGCACCCCAACCATACTCTTTCTCCAGCTTCTTTTAGAGAATTTTCTATGCATTTTCCTCTCTATGATAGTTAATGTTGAATGTCAGCATGACAAGCTCTAGGTATCTGTGGATGTCTACGAGGTCATTTCTAGCTTGCCTTGATTGAGATCAGAAGACCCACCCTAACTTTAGAAGCTTCATTCTATGGGCTGGGGTCCTGGCCTACACTTTCCAATGGCCTCTGATAATATTCAGAATAAAATCAAATTTTCTATCCAGGCTTTCTGTAGACCAAATGACCTGCCTTCATCTCCCTTGCAGAGAATACCCTGTCTGTCATCCTGAACTGACTAACTCTCTGTCATTGGTCTTTGAGTTGCTCCTTAATGGAATTAAGACACACATAGACCATAGAATCCAGACATTCTGTTCCCTTTTCCTGGATGCACTTCCATGGGATCCTCAAAGGCCTCTTGTAAGCAAGAGACCTTGGTTTCCCTGTGGCAATGGTCCAGCCTCTATCTTGCAGGCTTTTCCTTCCATATTACACCATCTTCTACCGGAGCTCAGAACAGCAGCAGTAAATGCTGCTCACAAGGAACAGTGGAGAAAATAGGAAGACAGAGATGTAGGCAAATGACTTTTCTCTTTCCTCTTGTGCCTCTTTGCTCTCTCAGGCAGGTAAGCAGTGGAAGTGGGAAACCCTAGCTCTTTCATGGCTTGAACTTTTATAAGAGGTATGTACCTGGGTGTGATGGAGAACACCTGTAATCCTAGCACTTTGGAGTGGGGGAGGGTAAACTTGCAAACTCAAGGCCATCCTACATTATATGGTATTTTCCAGCCTAGCTTCAACTCTATAATGATAATATTTTTCAAAAAAAAACTAGAATAAATAGACACAGCAATGTATATTGTGTATATCATGAACGAACAGGCAGAACTAAGAGAATGTCCTTATTATACTTCTATTGGTGGTAGTAACAAGCCAGCCCAGGTTTGAGCAGTGCCACAAAACACAGGAGAACCAATAAGAACTGAGACCCAACCTCAATTGCATGTCTAAGTATTACTTTGTTTATGTTTTGCCTTTTAATTTAAAGCACTGTTGGTGTTTAGTGCCCCAGTTCTGCCATTGCTTTTCTCCTACAGTCTAATGAATCACATTTACAGACTGATGAAATCTGATATTAAATTATTTATGTTATGACCCTAACATATGGTTAGGGCCAAGCTAACAAAACAAGAATTCTATGATTCAGACTGGCTTCAGGGAGCCAATCTGCACAAAAACAGTATTTTGTATAGGGCACATGTGTATGCATGAATGTCACAAAGTAGAGAAAGGCTCAAAGCTCTCTCCATAAAATATTCACCTCTCATTTGTGTTTCATAATTACAAAGCTCTCTGCCATGCCTCCTGTGTTACACTGCCAGTAAAAAACCAGCCATGTCTGGTATGTATTGCAAATATTCTTGGTGTTAACTAACTAGGCTTGCTGATACTGACAATCCAAGCACATAATGCATTGAAAAGTCACGAGTTCCTATCACTAAAAACACTCATAGGGGTCATGTGTTTTCTATAAATCCCTCAAAGAATAAGTCATCAAGTTTTCTTCAAGAGGAAACTCACTCTGTCAGCCAGGTATTTTAGTGGGTGTATGTTCTGCTGAGCCATTCTCTGTGACCCTCTCTAGGACACCATCAGAAGTGGATGAAGGCTGCAGTGTCAGGGGATAAACATTCCCCTGAATGCGATTATCTGCTTATGGTCCACTATCTAGAATTTGGGACTTACCACTTTGGTTGGCTTAGCTGATGAGACATTACCAGACATGCCTTAATCAAAGCACTGTGGTGTTCTTGCCCGAATTGGCTGGCTTTCTCCTGCCTTTGCTGATACCAGAACACATCCTAGCTAAGCTGGGGTACAAGAAGAATGGCGTACACAAAACAGAGTCACCTGGACCAATTGTAGGGCTGGGGCTTGATTCAGGCCTCCTACCTGTGTCCCACAGAGGTGAAAATAAGCCCAGCTGAGGCCCCTCCACCAGAGTCACCCAGTCAATCTGCAGCCAGCAGGGGGGCTGCCCAAACCACTTGTAGAACAGCCACTGTGTCGTGGCTTCAGTCATGAAGTGGTCCCAGGAAGATAACTAAGAGAGCTTCATCACAGGGAGTAGCACCAATGAAACAAAGGGTGACTGGCTTCTGTCACTAAGAGTTGAAGTAGGGTGATGATATGATATTGTTTGACTTCAAAGTGAGCGCTCTGGCTACTTCATAGAGGAAGCAATAGAAAAGACTGAGATTAGGAAACATGGTCTGTGGTACAGAACTGGCTGATGGTGACTTGGATTAGTTAAAGGGCAATGGAAGTAACAAGAAGGCTTTGGCAGCTACAGATGCATCGATGTTGACTTTGCATGAATTTTTTTAACCCAGAGGGTCTCTTGTTCAGTATCCCCTGGTGTGGATTAGTAGGGAGTAATGCCAGAACCATAACAGATGTGCCTGATGCCTTCAGAGATGGCTTGTTGACACCCTTTGATTGGCCTCTTCTCATCACCCAATGAGCATTGCATGCACCTCAAACCACCAGTGCATATCAGTACTCTTCCTCCAGGGTAACCTCTCTGATGCTTGAGGTTCTGTGACCCTCTTCTGTCCTCCCCTAGCCTTTTGAGCCAGACATTTTTTTCCCTAGGGTGCTCTGCTTACTTAGTCAGTAGCCCACCCTGTGTTAGATGTCACACAGTTGGTTGGATCAGCATCTTTTTGTCTCTTCAGTGGTACCCAGAGCTGCCTCACCTCATGTGCCGGATGTGGGAAAGAATGAGGAGGAGCTGGGCCAGACGACGATGCTGCTGCTGCAGTGTCAGGCCAGCTTTGGCCATCAGGTGGATCAAAGTGTCTGTAATCTTATCCAGGACCCGGTGGATGTGGTCCTTCTCTTCCAGAGACTTCAAGGTGCTGGACAGAAATGTGTACACTCCTGAACATAGAGAGAAAGAGAGTCAAAGAGGATACAGCCCAAGAGACAGAAGCATCCCTGGGATGCCACGCGGAGCTGTGAGCTTCTTCTGACAGATGTACAACAATGAGGATCCAGAGGACAGGCTTGACACCAAGAGATAGTGTGGCATTCTTAATGAGAGTGCACATCTTCCAGCCTCAAGATGCCTCATGAGTCTAACCAAGATCCTCCAAGAAGGATAAAACCTTGCAACTGTAATGGGAACATTGGCCATCTCTTCTTGGGAAGATCTAATGTCAACATGAACTGTTAATTCAGTGCTTACCATGACCTCAAGGGGAAATCATCATTGCTTCTTTAGGGGGACAGAGAGATGTGCTGCCTACTAAGGGAACACAAGTGGTATACCGGGGTTCTTAGGCTACACTTTGAAGGTCAACTCCACTTTTGGTAATGATGGGCAGACCATCCTCCAGAAAATACAGGACACCACTTACAAGCTTCACTTGTAAGGAGTTTTGAGTAGTCTGGCTAAGTGATTACAAGGTAATTTCTTGAGGTAGAGGTTATTTTGCCTCTGCTTTTGGCAAAGTTTTGAGTCTACACAAATTTTAGTCTTGATTGCACATGTATGACACGGGTATGTTCAGAGGACTTTGGGACCAGCTGTTTCTTTTGCCAGCAAAATGTTTCTTCTCTTGACTTTCTATTGTCTCTGCAAAAGGTAGGCTGGACAGAGAGAGACCTTTATAATGTTCTGTTCCTATGGCCAGCACAGTTCCAAGCTAGGCAATCAGAGCTAATTAGGGGGAGGAGATGCTTAATGGGATCCTTCCTATACAGGGTGCTTAACCGCTCTCTTCTGGCCTGCAGAGCCCTATTTGTAAAAGAAACCCAGCAACAACAGGCAGAAGAAAGAGCTAAATATATGGGGGGGGTAAAGAAAGAAGAAAGAAGTGAGGGGAGGATGAATGGAGAGAGGAAGGGAGGCAGGAATGGAGAGATGGTGAAGAGAGAAGGAGTAAGAGAATGAGGAGATGAGGAGAGCTTGGGAGAAGACAGCAAGGTGAGCAATGAAATTAGAGACAGGTGAGAGAAAGGAGAGTGGAGAGGAGAAAGAGAAGGAGGGAGAGGAGAGGGGGTGAGTGAGAAGGAGGATGGGTAAGAGGAAGGAGGGGGAGGAGGAGAAGTGAGAGAAGGAGGAGGAATGGGAGGAGGAGGGAGAGGACCTTCAATCATAGATCCTCCCTGTGTCTATTCCTTTTGCCCTTGGATCTCTCACAGCGAACCCCCTAATAGGTGAGACTACAGCTTCACTCCTTCCTTAAGATCACGTGAGCTGGGTTTCTGCCATTTGCAGTGGGAAGAATGAAGAGGAATGGAGCAGACTGTGAGATCAGCCTGGGCACAAGGGCAAGAGAAGGGAGAAGGAGGTGAGGATTGCTGAGAACCAAGAGAAGGCAGGATGCAGCTGCATGTTCTTGGCTTTTCTCTCAACTCTGCCTCCCCAGTGGAAATTGGCTCCTCCAGTCTAACACTAAACACACACCCTTTTGGGGTGCAGGTAACACCGGATTACCACTTGGGGTTCTGATAATGCAGCGTCAGGGTTTTGTTCTCTCTCTGCTCACCCCACAGAACAGTTCATAACTATGTCTTCTCCTCCTGCTCAGGCACACCAGTACCTTCACATGGGAGGCTCCAGAGTGTTAGCACCCACTGATTTGAACCCTGGTGCTGTGACAAGTGACAGCCACACTGCAGCCTGTGGGGTGAAAATGAAGAAAACACCGACACTGAGGAACTCAGAGTAAACAGTTGTAATCGCCTAGAGTAGAAAATGGCCGTGTTTAAACCAAACAAAACAACAGAACAAGACTGTCCCTACTCTTGGCTGGTGTGGACCTCAGGGGAATCACACAGCTTCTGGCACTAGCAGGCTCATTGATCCCCAGCAGATACTACAAAAGAATCCCAAGAATTCAAGATATGGCTGATAGACTGTAAGGACACTACTAACCTTTATCTTTCTGATCCGTTGTCTCCTTAAATGCCTATGTGTTCTCCTTTATCTTGGTGGATTAGCTCCAACTATTGAGTGTACTCCCTGTTTTCTGACTGTTGAATACTGGACACTCACCTATGGTTTGAACCCCTCACTATCTACATTTTAATGTTATCTCCCTCTTGTCCTTTAAACACAAAAATCCAAGAGTTCATTTCTTTAACAGGTAAGTTTTATGTTATAAAGAAAACGGATGGTTCCAAGGGGTGCTTTTTAAAATTATGAAGGTGAAAAGGATTAAACAGATACAAAAGCTGGAGAAGCTTTGGAAATCATTTAAATGATATGTATATCAACATACTTTCACTAACAGCATCATCATGGGCTAGTCAGGTTAGATTGAAGAGTCCATTGTTTTCGATTCATCCTGTTACCTAATATGACTTAGTTCAACTTGGCTGAGTTACTGATGACAGATCATACATTGCTCTCAAATCGTTGCATGGGTGAGACTTGCATTAAATACTCACACAAGGAAGTACTGCTCAAGTCTCTGGTTTGTGTTGGGGACATCTGACCCTTCTATTAGTGACACTCGTTAATTCTTTTCAGTGCTGGGGACCATGCCTAGAGACCTGTGTCTACTACGGAGTTTCCCCCAAGTCTGTAGCCCATTATCTCTTTTTAATTTAATTTTCAGCTTATTTGATCTTTATATAAAGAAGGTAAAATTTAATAACATGTGATTGTAGAGTGTTGACAAATGTTCCAGTTTATAAAGCTATCATTCAGATCAAAATCTAAAACATCTCAGCCTCCCCCAGAAAATACTTTTTGCACTTTTCCAGGCAAATGAAGTCACTTGCTCTTACCCAGAACACCTACTCTTCTGCTCGTGCCAATAATCACCCTTCTACACGAGGGTGCATGAGAGTGCTGCCCAGCATTTTGATGGTCTGATTTACACTCTTGTCATTTTCCAAGTTGCCACCAGGTCAATATCGTGAATTGCTTCTGGTGGACGCTGTGGTGGCCCCACACCCCTAGAACATGAAATTAACAACATTCTGCACTTCATTAGGTCTTACCTTTTCCTCAATGCACTATAATGTGTAACATTTGGAACATAGTTCTTCAGAAAGCCACAGACAAACCATGAGGGTTGACACTTGACAGGAAACCAGGGTGCATTTTAGAGTTTACCCAAACTTTGTTCTTGTTCACAAGTTAATAGAGTTCTTAAGAAATCACTATTTGAACATCTTAAGAATTCTTTCATGCACAAAAAAAGAGTATGTTTCACGAACATGAAAAAAAAAAAAATTTGTTTTTTTCCCGAATTTTTTTTTTTTTTTTTTTTTTTTTTGAGACAGGGCTTCTCTGTGTATCTTTGCCTCTCCTGGAACTCACTCTGTAGACCAGACTGGTCTCGAACATATTGAGATCCACCAACCCCTATCTCCTGAGTGCTGTGATTAAAGGTGTGCACCACCATGCACAGCCACACTCATCATTTTTAAGGAATAAAAATTGAATACATTGCCTGAGAAACGGGCATTAGCAGAGGCTCTGTAGCAGGTATTGTATACTTCTTTATTAGATCTCTCTCCTAATTCCTAGGCATTGCTATTGTTAAAATTTTACTTTAAATGTTTTTCCCCTTCAGCATTACTGTAATATGTATTCATGAACTATAAATCTATTAAGTTATATGCACATATATAGTTACATATGCATGTTATTTCCTAAAACAATTGTTCTATACTTCTGCAGTGTGATTTACCAACCGTACATTTTTAAGATTTGCTTTGTAAAGATAAGGACATTACTGGGTTATGTCCTGCCTCACTTCCATGTGGACTGGTAACACAGAAAGAGTGAGTCCATCAGAAAATGAAGCGAGTGTCCAGTGGCCATGGCGTTGGCTTGGAAACTGCAGGTGGCATGGAGGTGTGCCTTGGTGGACAGGGATTGCCTTGAGCTCTCCGTGGCTCTGCCTCTAAGGCTGACGCTGTGTGCCATGGCCCACATCACTGTCTGGTCTCCTGGAAGCCTTACCTCAGTCTACATGTCCTGGGAACCTGCTCAGCCCCAGAAGCTGTGTTAGTCCAAACTGAGTGATGAAATTTCAACCCACTTCTTTTACTTTTATGACCCAGGATGCTGGTTTTATTCAACAGTAACCTTTCTTGCTCAAGAAAACCTCAGAACCCAACATCTATTAGCTTGGGGGCTCTTGCCAAGGGAGTTAGACCCCACATGTTGCTTCTCTCCCACTGTGTACCCAGTGACAACACACTTGTGCTGAACTTCAGCAAACGGCCAACACAGTTTGGTGTTTTGTTTTGCTCTTTCAATGCAGGAAAAAGACATGATTCTCCAACTCAGCAAGCCAGGTTTTCTTTTGGGCCTCCAAGTCTGGCTTCTTCACAGTACACATGCTGGCCCAGGTTCCTTCACCCAGCAAGCACCTGTTGAGAACTTCCTGTATATGTCACTATATGTTAGCTGACAGGGATTCCAAGCTTTCTTTCCTTCAAATAGTTAATATTTGAAGAGAAGATACTGCCCGTGGAGAGAGAATTTTCTTAACACAAACTGCCAGGATGTTGGACATTTCTCAGAGCAAGCCTGTTTTTCTAGTCCTGCTTTGGCACTGGCTCAGCTTATCACCTCAGCCTTGTCAGCATGCACTTCCTAGCTGTGCAAATAGACTTCAAAATAAAAATGCAGTCTTGTCTAAATGCCAGTGATTGACAACAATCGCCATCATTCTTTTGGACTTTTCCTGGCAAAATACAACTCTGTGCTTGCTGCTTATTGCCCTTAAGGATCTGTTTGAGAAAGAAAAGCCACCCAGAGTCCCAGAATACTCCAGGTGCTCTGGCAACCACTGTCAATGAGCACGAGCACAACACAGCTCCTGGTTTGTCTGTGTTGTACTATAGACAGCCCTCGGCTACTTCCAGAAGCCAGGGGCCAGTGTGCCAATCATAAGAACCTTCAGAAAGTC